CCCTTTGTAATCCTTCCCTCTTGTCCCTCTCTGTCTCCAACCCATAGCCCAGGCAACCATTGTTCTGCCTTCTGTCACTGCAGATTAGTTTGTATTTTCTAGAATTAAATAAGTGGAATCATACAATGTATATTCTTTTCTGTCTGTCTTCTTCTACTCAGCAAAATTATTTTGATTTTCATCCATTTTTTGCATGTAGCAATAGTTCATTCCTTTTTATTGCTGTGTAGTATTCCATTGTACGGATATACCACTTTCTTTTAATATCCTCACCTATTGAACAAGGCCTTGTTTCCAGTTTTGGGCTATTACAAATAAATCTTCTATAAATACTTTTTACAAGTCTTTGTAAGGACATATGCTTTCATTTCTTTTGTGTAAATCCCTAGAGGTGGAATGGCTCATTCATCTAGTGGGCATATGTTTAGCTTTAAGAAACTGCCAAACCGTTTTCCAAAGTGGTTATACATTTTACATTTCCACTGGTAGTGTATGAGAGTGCCAGTTTTCCATATCCTCACCAATACTTGATATAGTCAGTTTTTTTAAGTTTAGACATTCATTTAGGTGTAAAGTGGTATCCTATTGTGGTTTTAATTCACATTTTCCTAGCTAATGATGTTGAGCATCTTTTCACATGCTTCTTTCCTATCCGTATATATTCTTTGGTGACGTATTTGCTCAAATATTTTGCTTGTTTTTTTTTTTTACCCCCAAATGGTCTATTTGTTTTCTTCCTGTTGAGTTTTGAGTGTTATTTATATATTCTAGAAACAAGTCTTTTATCAGATATGTGATTTGCAAATATTTTCCCCCAGTCTGTAGCTTGTCTTTTGGTTCTTTTAACAGTACCTTCCAAAGAGAAGTTCTTAATTTTTGTGAAGTCCAAATTATCAGTGCCTAGGTCAGAGGGCCATGTGAAGATGATGGGAGACAATATAGAGAACACATGTAACACAGTGATTGGCACATAGTAAGTGCACAGTAAATGTTAATTTCTGTTAATTTTATTAAAGGAAAAAATGGCCTAAATAATTAAGACTAGTTATCAACTTAAATCCCTCAGTTCCTTACCATTTATGACTATGAGCCATGTGGACAGGTTTGGGGATCTGAATTTTTTGAGCACTTATCCATTGCTGGCAAGAATATAATTTGGTATAGCCACTTTGGAGAGCAATTTGATAAAACCTAGTAAAGTTGACAATGCACATTCCCTATCTAAGCAATTCCACACCTAGACCATAGAATCTTGTATATATACACAAGGAGATAAATATAGGAATAGTATGTTCATAGGTATTTTTGGTAATAGAAAAAAGTCTAAACAACCCAAATGTCCACTAATAGGAAAATGGATAAAGAATGGATATTGGTGCAGTAAAAAAATTATATTGCAGTAAAACAAATGAATGGGTTAGAGCTACAAGTATCACATACATGGGCTTCATAAACATAATATTGAGGAAATAAAACAAAATACAGAACAATATTCATTGGATTGTTGGATGAGCCTTTAGTTAATTTCCAGCATTCTGAAAATGTTAATTTTGACAATTTCCCAGTGTTCTTGCTGCTTTTATGTGCCATTCTGGTCACATTTATAATTTATATGCTGTATTGTAAAATATATTCATGACAAGTATATGCCTTCCATTTTGACTAGAATTCAATGACTACTAAATCTTTTACTTACAATTTTACATAACTGAAGATTGAAAGAATTCTCCACAGACCAGCTTCTGGCTTTACACATTTCAAACTTGTTTCTCCTCCACATCTTACATACTTCCAGTGTTGGGCACTGTAGGGCATATTGTGATAAGATCTCTGGCCCTGCATCTTTGCATTACAGCACAGAGTTGGCACAGTGGGCCTAAGGACTATTCCTGGAAGCCATACCTACACCAGAAGGGCTAAAAATAATTTAATTATATGGAAGTAATTATGATCTACAAAATTATATCCTACTAAACCCCAACAAAATGTACCCCCAACCTAATTTGTCCTTCGTTAGTTCCCAAATTACCCATGTCCACTCCAACACCACCTGATAGTTAAAGAAGTGTGATAGAGGCCAAATCAGAGTCAAATGAGATAACAGACTCAATGTATTGTGGTTAAAATATCTTACTTTTGTAAATTTTACAAAACCAAATGACCATGTGAACACATTGCTAGGATCCCAGCCTTGAAAGGGGCCAGTTTAAGTTAGAGATCCTGCATTTTAAGCTTAGTTAACCTCACTGTATCTTTTTCTCTTTCTCTTACACACACACACACACACCACCTTGTCTCTTCTCTGACTTTTCTCTGCATTTCTGTTTTATTCTTTTCTCTCTGCAGTCTCTGCAGACTGCCTTTCTCTGCTTATCTGTGCACATGATCCAAAGACGACTGTCTGAGCCCCTTGTACATATTCCCCATAGAACTGCCACATGCCAGCTCACCAGCATCCATCTATCCAGTCTCCAGAGAGAATCTGATGCTCTTCACTCCACTTTATTAATTGGCTTTCTTTGGTTCAGGTGTTCAATCTTGATGCAATAAGCTGATACCAAGTATAAGTAAAGCCCCATAGAACAAGTGCAGCTTTGGGGCCCCATCCTATAAGTGGATAGAGTATTGACTAATTCATGGAAAATAGGAATGGCCTAACTTGACACCTCGAAAGGCAATGTACCCCAGCAAAGTTGATTAGGTTCAAGCAGTAGGTACAGCAAGTCTTCTTCAAACAATTAATATGCAAATATATTTGTGATTTTCTCCAAGAAAGACATATTACTTATTTCCCAAAATTGTATTCCCAGGGATCCTATTTTGGGGGCAGGTGGGGAATGGTTCATACCACTAGTATTCTGAGGGAAATACTGGATTAAATAATAATAGTTAATATACACATTAACTCAGTAAAATCATACTGTTTGTCTTGTGCTGGCACCAATCTAAGCATGTTTGTAATCCTTATACCAGTTCCATGCAGTAGGTTCTATTTTTACAGATAAGGAGACTGAGGCACAAGAGAAGTTAAGCAATTTTCCCAAAGTTGAACAACTAGAGAGTGAGGGTGCTTGACTTTGCATCTGGGCAAAGCCTCATGCTTCACCTCTGTGCTGTGGAACCTCCATGGACTCTTTAGGCTCTGAATCTTATGGTTCTTCCACGACCTTTGATGTTCTATATTCTGCAATATGTGAAAGGACTGTTCCAACATCACGGAGGAAGGACGCTGTTGCTTGTTTCCTTTGTCTTGTTACGGAAGAGCACTCCATCCCATCACCTACATTTCTGCCTTTGACTCATGGATCCTTAGTGTCTCCAAAGGCCTTAGAGTTAGAAGACAGGTTTCCACTTCCTTTCAATTAAAAAATGTTTAAATACAGTCCTACTCTTCAGCATTGTAGGTCATTTAACAAAGTAAACAAAATTTTCCTCATTTCTAATTTCATTAGGAATAAATGGTTCCCATCGCCAGGGTCCACTCTAAAACCTCAAATTATTGACTAGTTAAAATAGAAGATCTGAGAACCTCTAGATTAAAAGAAAAAAACATAAAGTGCACAGAGGCATAAATGTCTTATTTTTTTATAAAAATGGAGGTTGATATGCCACTTGCTCTTTCATTTGAGTTATACTATATTGTTTGTCCTCGTCAAGAGAAAGCATAATGCTTCAATAGTGTGAATTATTTTGCATAAAACATGTCTCTGTGTATTCCTATATAGACCCAGGTAGAAAATTAAAGGGATATGTAGAAAGTTTTCATAATGTAGAATAATGAACAATTTCAGATAATCCTGTATATTACCACACACTAGAAAGAATAATTATAGTTACAAAAATCATTTTCATAAGTTTTGCGACTGAGATTCATGTTCCCATAGAACATTTGAGGAAGCCTAACTGAAGATTTCTGGAGCTGACACCCGATCTTAGCTTCAAACACTGAGGAATAAATCAGCCTAAGCAGGCAGGCATTCTACATCAAGGAGACACCAGTGGAACTGTGTATTTTTGCTTTATGAATCCCAAGAGAACAAATCTTGTGCTCCATGTAATAAGCCTTTAACTTGCAGTATGTGATAGTCTTTGTTGACTGAAATAAAGCGTCTAGGTAATATTAGTGAAGGAGTTGATTCAATACTCAAAGTGAGGAACTCAAGCCCCAGAAAACAGTTCAAGAGAGTGCTCTGATGGAACTGCCCTGAGGTGTGTGGGTTTAAGTGCAGCTTATATATCTTTTACAGTGTATGTAGGAAAAACAAAATCTTACAACTACACTTCACATACGTCAAAAGAGATAGAGCACATCTGGTTTTTCTGTAGATTATACAATAAAGATAACATAAACAAGAATTTCTTGGTTATACATCAAACAAGTTCTGGGATGCTGATGTTATCTATGTGTGGAGGGAGGCAAGGACCAGGCTTGTTAATTATTCCCTCAATCTCTAAGAAATGCAGCTGGGGATGTAGGAGCTAGGGACCCTTTATCTTTTCCTGTTTCTGACTTCTCCAGCTGGTCTCTTCAGTCATGAAGTAGAGTTGCAAAGCCTTTTTGACACAGAGTGAAGACCGCCTGCATGGCTGCTTACCATACCGCAGGAGTTTTTATTGTACTGACTTAAAGCCGATGCAGTTTGCTTGTTATATTTGCATAGACCAGGGAGAGGGGTCCCAAAAGCTTGTTCACTTCTTTCGTCATTTAATAAATATTTATTGAGCGCCTGCAATATGTCAGTCTCTTAACAGTGCAGTGAAAACGCCAACCCTATTCCTACGGAGTTTACACTAATGAGAAACATTTTAACGCGTTCTACCGTCCAAAAACGATAATCTCGCCACGTAATCTGAATTTGTAAAATCGGCACGCGCGACTTGAGACCAGCTCTTAGTCAAACCTCGCCCCTGGCAGGGAAACGACAAACGCAAAAGCGGCGCCCAGCGTCGCTCCCAGCGGCGCGCGGCGGTGACGCGAGGCCCCGCCCCCTGCTCCCTTCATGGCGCCCCCGCCTCCGGGAGCTAAATGCGCAGGCTCCTCGGCCGGGCTCGGGTTCTTCTCCGGACGCAGCCGAGCCCGCGACTTCGCCTCCCCGAGAGCTTCGGAGGGCGTCGCGGGCCTGGTGCTTCCGCGGTGGCCGCGCCGGGAGCAGGGCGCTGCAGCTGCAGTCCCGGCTTTGGTGTTCGGTACACAGCAGCCCCAGCGTGCCCGGAGCGCGCAACCCCTCGCCCGGCGCGGCGAGCCCCGGGCGGTAACCGAGCTGACGGAGGATGGCAGCCTCCGGGGTGGAGAAGAGCAGCAAGAAGAAGACGGAGAAGAAACTTGCCGCTCGAGAAGAAGCTAAATTGTTGGCAGGCTTCATGGGCGTCATGAATAACATGCGGAAACAGGTACCGCCTCTGTGGGAGTGGCAGACGGCAGGGGGGAGGTGGTCCGGGACTCGGGCACTTGCGCCCTGGGCCGAACCGCGCGCCCTGTGGGTCCCGATCCTCTTCTTCCTCTATCCTCGCCCTTCCTTCTATTTGCGCACTGCTGTTAGTGAGGGTCGCAGTTTTAGAGCAAAAGTGCCTCCCCGTCTGCCGATGCTGCGGCTCCCAAATCAGACTCCTGGAGGACTCCTCGGGCTGGCATTTGGCGCCGGGTATTGGTTGTGTAACAGCTCTGCCCTAGTTATCTCTTTGTGAGGCGAGGATCCCTCCATTGGCCAGCAATTTTAAGGTGTCGTGAGATCTTGTGCGAAGAAGCCCATTGGCACAGCCCAACCTGAAGCCCCCAAAGAAGGGAAAAGCGTTGCTGGCCTGAAATCAGCTCCTCTTAAAGAAGCATCCCCGCCCCTCTTCGGTCTTAGCCGGGTGGAGCTAGTTGAAGACAAATCCTCCCGTACTGTTAATTTAGAGCAGAAACAGTCATCGATAAATACCGTGCCGTGTTTTAGGAGCACTGTGCGCCCCTGTTAGAGGAGCTCTTTGTTCTGTCTTTGACGTGTGGCACGTTAATGAAAGTCTTCAGCACGTCGGCGAAAGGTGGGTTATGAAAACGGGTTTTAACGCCGGAGAATGTAGACTAGAGAGGTTTTGTTTATTTTTTTAATTCCATAACGTCTTATACTACGAATAAGCATTGAAAAGTCACTTGGTTACTTTTTGATTCTGTAAGCTATATTTATAGAAAATACGCATCTGAGAAGATTTGTGGGAGTGTTTCCGTTTTGTGGCTGGGGTCCTGTTTTTCAGGACAAAAGGAGAATCTGAGCATGAGTAACTGCAAAGCCTAGTTCACTTATCTAATGGTTCTGGTGGGAATATGGGCAACAATAGAGGAATTAAGATTTTTGTGACGATATTAACTTCTGGTTTCTTAAAGCAAAGCTCTGACTGCTGAGATCTTTTCTTTGTTTATCAGCTCCTGGCATGGTGCAGGAATGCAGTAAATATTTGTGGGAATGCTTTTAAATCTTTCGTGGCCTTTGTGCTGAAGTAGCTGGGAATGTCTGAATTCAATATTTTATGTAACTTACTTTCATGTATACACTAACATTGTGTTCCTTTCACATAAACCTTTTTACATTTACAGCACTACTGACTTCAAATTACTGGTGCATTTAACTAGTGTCTGCCTGTAAACAGTAGTTGAACACAGTTTACCAGTGCTCAAATTTGTTTCCAACAACCCTCCCACTCCCCCAAATATGTGTTTTCATCCTTGGCGTATAGCGTTGTAAAGCATTGCCTCATTCCTTACATAGAGTGCAGCTGGACTGCAGCATCAGCTGTTTACTTGAGGAGGAGGGGATTGTCTGAGACTGTATGTTTAGCTCTTTGGGTGTAAAAATGGATTCAAATCCATTCTTAGACTTAGCTTTAGACTATATTAACATCTATTTGTTTACTGTTAAAATAGAAATATAGTTATCAAAGAATCAGGATTCTGTTACTGAGTAGGAAGGAGAAAATGGATGCTTGGTGAGCAACCAGGGATCTCTTCCACGATGGTTAACTGACCTTAATCTCCTGGATTCTCCTTTTGTTGATAGCTTTGCATGTTATTCAAACAGTTCTCCAATAGCACTTTTTCCTACTTCCTGGAATCCTTTTGTAAGACGTGCCGTTTGTTTTACATTATATTTGTATTCTGTTTAACATCATAACACAGGAGAGACTCACTGAGAATGACTGACAAGGGCAGTTGATGGTAATTGGCAGAAATAGAAGCTGGTCTGACTCAGAAGAGGAATGAGGACCAATTTTATAAGTGTTCTTGTTCTTTACTGAATATGTTGGTATTATGACTATTTTTGCTTTACCTTATAATTTCATTACTTTGGGGATCAGGATAATGAGTGGTGGATGACAAGGACCCCTCTATAGACACCCAGAAACATTCCTACAAGAATTTGAGAACACTGTGAAATTAGAATACTTGAATTCCAAACCCTGCTCTACCATTAATTAGTTCTGTGATGTTAGATAATCTGATTTAGGTCATTTCATCTCAGCGTAGCAGCCAATCCTATACACAGTGACGAAAGTGGGTTCTGCAGAGCCAGCAGCTTCAGCTTCTTAGGGAGCCTTTTCCTCCAGCATCCTTCTAGTCATTTCTAGCCTCTTATTTTTTATTTTTGTTTTTTGGTGAGGAAGATTAGCCCTGAGCTAACATCTGTCACCAGTCCTCCTCTTTTTGCTGAGGAAGACTGGCCCTGGGCTAACATCCGTGCCCATCTTCCTCCACTTTATCTGGGACACCACCACAGCATGGCTTGACAAGTGGTGCATCAGTGCGTGCCCGGGATCCGAACCCCGGGCCACCGCAGCGGAGTGCGCCCACTTAAGCGCTATGCCACTGGGTCGGCCCCTCTAGCCTCTTATTTTTAAGTAAACTTTCTAATAAAATACAGGATTCATGTAAAAGGGCACAAATCATTAACATGTAGCTCAGTGAGTTATTACAAAGTGGACATACCAACAGCAAGAAATAGAACATGACTAGTACATGAGAGGGCCCTCCTTATGCCTGTCTTCAGTCACTATCCCCTCAAAGGTAACCACTCTTAGAACTTCTATCACCACGGATTTGTTTTTCCTGTTTTTGAACTTATATAAATGGAATCATACAGTATATACTCTTGCATCTTGGTTTCTTAAAGCCAACATTGTTTATGAGATTCATCTATGTTGTTGTGTTTAGTACTAGTTCATCTTCATTGTGTATAGTATTCCATTGTATGAATGCACCACAATTTATCCATTCTATCATTGTCGACATTTGAGTTATTTCCAGTTTGGGACTATTAAGAATAGTACTACTTTGAACAGTTTAGTACATTTTGCACATGTCTTTTGATGTGTACATATATGCATTACTGTTGGGAAATACCTAAGGGAGTTATTGAGTCAGACGTTATGGTACATTCAGCTTGAATAGATACTGTCATACAGTTTTCCAAAGTTGTGCCTATTTACACTTGTGTCAGCAGTGTATGAGAGAGGCTTTTGCTCTACATCCTTGTCAACACTTGGTATTGTCAGTCTTTATAACTTGAGCCATTCTAGTGGGTGTAGCATCTTGTTTAATTAGGTTGAGCACCTTTTCATTTTTCCCTAACTTTTTGTTTAGATTAATTTTATTATCTGACACACTAGAGAGAGGTCTACAAAACAGGGCTGGGTCATAGTCACTACTGGGCATATCCAGTTGCTGTTGCTGTTGTGTTAATGAAGTCCAGGAGACCCTTAACATTTGAGGGATATGTTTTGAGACCTTCCTGAGTACCACTATAATTTACAGTTTCCTCACGTTAAATGAATTAAAGCATAATTGGAACTTAAAAGCTTATGTTATAGCCCTTATTGAGAGTTATGTGAGAGAACCACAAAGCTGATTTGAGGATTGGATGCTGGGCAGTCAGCTGAGCTCACTTAATAGCTAAAATGACTCAGCTTCTGTATACTCACCAATCCAAGACTGTAAATTACTGCATGTCATTTATATTTAGGGTCTCTTGTGAATAGTAATCTAAAACTTCTGTGTTACATCCTCAATATTAGAAACACTTCTTGAGCACTTATTCTCTACCAGCTCTTCTGCAAAATGTTTTACATGCTTTGTCTCATTTAATTCTTATAACAACTCCGATCATCCATACTTTTCTATTCTTAACTCTTTCTCTCTTCTCTTTTTCTCTGTCCAGCTTAGGAGATATCATCTCTCTCTTCACTCTCGTTCCAATGCCCCAAGCTTTCTTGACCTTCTGTTCTTTTTTCACATCTATCTGGCAAAAAGCATTGATGACTGTTTACCTTCTGTGTGCAGGGCTTCCAAGCACAGCTGGAGCCCATTATTGGGCAATCTTCTGCCAGGTAAGTAACTTCAGCTGGGCTGTCAGTACTGGTGAGCAGTCCTACTTTCCATTCATTTTACTGTTTTCCTCTAACCTGAGTCCATTTTCTATATCCTCACTTTCAGCAATCATCCCTCTTTTGACATCACAAATAAATAGAAGTCATTAGTCTGGAACTGTCTAACTTTTAACTTTCCACCACCAAATCTATAAACCTGTTTTGACACTTTCCGTTTTCTCTTTTCACCCTGCTCCAGTGGAGAAGCTGCCTCTTTTTCTATCTAAGGCCAGTACTTTCACCTGTGCTTTGACTCCCTCAGTACTAGCCTTGTCTGAAAAGTGATACTATTGGTTATTCCATCTCTGTTGAGCATCTTTAACTTCTCATCCTCTGCTGGGTTCTTGCCATCAGCATTTAGGCATGTTTTAACCTCTCCAACTTTTATAGCAACCAACAAACCCATCCAATCACTCTTAGTCTCATCATTCCCCTGTAAATAATACCTCTCTCCGTCTTGTTAAAACCAAAGAGTGAGTAGATTCACTGCCTTGTTTGGCTCACTGTTTATTTATTCTCCTATCTCAGTTTGGCTTTCTAACTTATCCACTCAGATGAATGCTTATTGAGAACCCACTGTGTGCTGGGCATTTTGCTAGATTCTGGGGTTACAATGGTGAACAAAACCTGACAGTCCCAGTTGTTATACAGTTGATAGACTAGTAGGAGAGTGAGACATTAGCCAAGAAATCACACCACAAAATGTAAAATTGCAGCAGTGATAGGTATTATTAAGAAGAAGGACTTCATACAATGAGGGCATATAGATGGATGATTTGGCCATCAGGAAGGTTTTCCTAAGGAAGTGATAATTGAACTGAGAGCTGAAGTAAGAGTATGTGCTAACTAGGCACCTTAAGGAAGAGCCTCTTAGATAGAGGGAACAACATATGCAGAGGCCCTGAGTGAGACCTGCTTACAAAGAATGGCGAGTACAAGAGACTGATTGAAGGCCAGTGTGAGTGGAGCACAGAAGGTGAGGAGGAGGATGGTGC